CTCTCCGCCAACAGAGAAAGAAAGAAGCAGAAGTCGAAAATGAGCTAGATTTTCTCCGATGTTTCCGGCGTCTTGCCATAGCTTCGGAGAGCACATCTCTCAATACTACTGTCCTTTGACCAGAGATTCTGAAGTGTATAGAAACGAATCGAAACGAATGTCAACCGCGACACGCAGCATCATGAATGACTCACTCTGCCGCTGAGCAATTCGGATGCAATCGGCACGGATGCAACTGCAAATGTGAAAGGATTAAAGGAACGAAGAAGAGGAGTAAGCCTGGCTACCTCTTCTTTCTTGGTTTCCCTGTAGACGCCGATGCTGCAGCCAGGAGATTTTATCTTCATCTTGAAAATCTTGACTCTCCTCAGTAGGGAAAGGAGGAGTTGGCAGGGGAAGTTCCTTTTGCAGGCTGACTTCCCTGGGAAGGTTCTGCAAAAGAGGGCCCTGGCGAGGATCGTTGTTTGTTCGATCCAACTTGACATCTGCAGTGTCCTGATTGGTGGCAACCACTTTCTCAAATTTTGATTCTCGAGCTTGCCACCTCCCCCCGGATTCAAAAATTCGAGGCACAACTCGAGGAGCAAACTCTGTCTTGGAGGGAATAGCTTCCTCCGGGTTTTGTCCCTTCTAGGGTTTGTTCCATTCTCCCCAGGAATCCTCAAGCGCCAAGGTTGCCCCGGCTTGCTTGGGAGTGGACTGTTGTTCCGGTACTGGAGCTGGAATTTCATCAGCTTTGTCCGGATAATCCATAGACTGAAAGGGTGACGGTAACCAGACTGTGTCAATCCTGGCACCGCGTGCCATAATTGCCCATCGCCGGTCCGAAGACGGCGAGGGGACAATGTAACGGAAATGACAGAAATGATTTTCATGAGATACAATCGCAGATTTGGAGTGAATGTGGGCTCCGGGCAGTTGCCCTCCAAACATTATGGCATAATGATTATGCCGCACGAACTCTTGGCTGAGTGATGCAGTTCACTGACGAACTGCTGCACTCCTTCTTCCCAGTCCGGTCTGTCGCAGACTCTCCCATAAAAGGAATAAGTATCGGCGTTGGAGGCAATGCCTGCTACTTCCACATCAGTGGGAAGCCTGGGAAGCACTCTGCCCAAGCTGAAAATTCCTATGGCTCCGATATGACCGGTGCCATGCACCCAGGTTTACCAGACTTGGTCTTGCCGTTCTGGTCTTGGCATATGCGGCGGAGGAAACTTGTAAACAGCTACATCCTGGATGGGGTTCGTCCAGTGAGTGGCTTGCTGCAAAAGGTGATCCTCATAGTCAGTCTTGCTTCGCAAGAGTGACAGTGCTTGCAGTTTTAGTTGTTGCTTGAGGCGGGTGGGGGCACTGGAAATCTTGAGATCAAAAACTTGACGCACAAGTCGATCTCTGTGGATCTCACTTACTCGTTTGGCCGCATCCATGTCCGGACAAAGACTCTACGACTACGAGCTTGGATTGCCCGAAGACATCCACAGGAAACGATTCGCCACCGTGAAGGTCGATGGCTTTGTAAATAACGCAAGACGAACAATGCACACTGCCCCAAGGATGTCATGCCCTGTGGGAAGTGATCGTCAGCACTCCGACCTGGATGAAGTTCTTCAAGCTAGGATAAAACATCTTCAAGCTTGGCAACTTGCAAATTCGAAATGGTTCCTGCACAGATGCAGAATGCTGTGAGCGAATATTTGTCGTCTGCTGCCGCAGGTGTGGCTTTTGCTGCGGTGCAGGTCTGCTGGGTTCGCTCGGCAGGCGAGCAGGTTCGGCTGGCTTGCGATCATCGCGAGCTGGTGCAAAATGGCCCGAGCTTGGTTGAACCACTTGACGTGAAAAGGGATGGATGTGGAAAGGGCGGTTGTGGGTGCGGCGGGAGGACCTGGCGGGTAAGGTGAAACAGGTTGCGGCGGTTGTGGTGGCGGGTGAACAGGAGTTGGAAAAGTGCTTGCGGGCCTCCAGTTTCCAGGAGGCTTGCCGGGATCAGTGGCTGGACTGGCAGCTCTAGTCTGGCTAGCAGCTTCTGGGACAGAGGGAGATCTCGGTAGTGGGATCCTGACTCTTTGTCCTCTGTTTTCAGGAGATCTACTTCGGTCGTGCCGACAACGACGACGACGATGTCTTCGTCGTCTTTGGCTCCTGGACCGAGGTCGCTCTGAAAAAGCTTGCGGCAAAAGTTGTCCCGGCGGAGCTCGCGTAGGCTTTGGTACTCCAGCGGCACGAACAAATCGACAGGGAAAGTCGTAGCAGGTAGCGCAAGCATCGCTTGTGCACGGGGGGCATTAACAGTTGCACTTACAGCTGCAGAGCTGCGTCCTGGTGAAACTGGGCCGGCGCCCGAAAAGAAGTTGAACACATAGGACATGGTGGCTGTTGCTCGAGAAAAGAAACAGCTTCAGGATGATTTATGAGACGACGCTTGAACAAACAAGGCTGGCACGTTCAGAAAATCTGACAACAAAGTTGCAGTCAGAATTGCACGAAACTGATTTTGCCATCAAGCAGAGAGCTGTAAAGTACTGCCAAAGGCATGATTCTGGGAACCCTTTGTCAATGTACAGTTGCTTCAGGCTTGAAATTTGGCTTGGACGACTACTTGGAGACCTAGCATATTGCTGGATCAGCGCTTTGCGCGAATGGGAGCCTGAGGCTCTTGCAGACCAGGTGCCTGCGCTGCGAGAGTGCCTACTGCTCCAAATGTCCGCTGGTAAATTCACGATAGTACGGGCTGGAGCATTGATCGTGAAGCCCAAAAACTTTTGATCTGAAACAGTCTCCAATTGGACGGTAGACCCATAGAACGACAGGCGCATGAATTCACGAGTTGCGCCCAAACGATGGCGCTTGGTCTCGGACAATATCCATCTGTCGTTCACACACCGACAAATGAAAATCTCAGATTTCTGAGAATTGAACGACCCAATGTACATGTAGGTGGAAGGCTGCCGATGCTGCTCCACAGATTTAAAAGGCGCCAATCGAGTGTTGTTCACGTGCACAGCATTGGGCCGAAGAAATCGTGGCCATGTGTACATGGCAGGATGAACATGCATCGCTCGAAGTTTTCTGCGAAGATTCTCTGGATGGGATTGTTGCGCAGAATCCTTAAGAGAAACAGTAGAGCTAAATGCAGGAGTCATTGGGACCAGATCATCGAGGCTTTCGGAAAACCATGTCAGCTGTGTATGAAAAAGCGCATGCCTCTCCAAGGTTGCAAATCTGTGTCTTGAGTGAGCTTCGTTGATGATTGCTCATCGCAAGAGCTTGACTGGTGAGTCAAGAAGCTTCAAATTGGGCTGCAGCAATGACTGTTGACAAGTTCTTGAATGTCAATCTCGATGCAAGATTCTCATCCAGACCGAGTTTCACGGTAGCACTGGTAAGATCTGATTTAGAGTACCTTGGCTGAAAATGAAAAAACTCTCGAACTGTCCTCACATGCTTCGTCGAAGTTGTGTGAACTTGCGTTTAAAAACCGGCTTGTTCTTCAAAGTTTGGAGCCAGTCTTCAACGTGATGGTCTGTCGCTCCCTTTGGTCTGGAATCCAGCTTGTTCTTGGGAGGGCCCTGGAAACGTTTCAGGGCTTCCTCCTCAGTCGAATCTTTGGTCGACTTGGCCCGCTTAGGAGCTTTGGGATTCAAATCTTGAATAGGCAAATCAGTATTGGAGGGCTGGCTGTCGTGAGCACCCACCCCTCTTGTCGGGAATCAGCTCCAGACCATGGGCCGCGAATTATGCTTTGGCCTTGATCAAGGCAGCTGCTTCATCCGAATTCTTTGTTTCTGGAAGCTTGGCTTAGATCCGAAGACAATCGCTGCATGAATTTAGTGGCGTCTTTGTGTTTGTCAGGGACATCTTCTTTGAAAAATGTTCGAGCCACTTCATCAATATCCAGACCCAACTCTCGAAGGTGGTAAAGACAGCTTCTGATGCAGATCTTGTCCAAACAAGTCCTTGGTATCGTCCTTCACTCACAAGTCGCAAAGAAAACTCGGAAAGTCCTCGATGGGACAATTCCCATGCTCGGATGTCCTCTATGGGACGGCCAGCCAAGCTTTGCTTGCGGCTCCACTCAGCAGGCTGCACTTCACGAAAAAGCTGATGACCTTGCCTACTTACTGCTTGACGATCCCAAGACTTCTCGTCAGAATGGAAACACACTGGAAGAGTCGGTTTCGGAATGGTAGGTGTTGCTGACCAAAGCAACGATGGTGGTCTCGAGGCACTGGACCAGGACGAATCACCACTACTGGACCAGTTTTGCCAATTGTCTGAAAACCACTCTCGGTTGGCCCAGCTTTGGTCACCCTTCTCATCCCAACGCTTTGCATACCAATTGCTCATGGCTTCGCAAAAGAAGAAATCGGTGTGAGGATGTTTGAGGTAAGCTTCCTTCTGTTCCTGATGGGGCCCAACAGACTCAAGGCTGAACATCTGCGAGGCTCTTTTTCCGGGCAGAACGAAACAGTTCCAGCCTGACACTTAGTCGATCAGGATAAGGTTGTGCTGTTTCCGGCACAATAGCATATCTGGTGAACCGTGCAGGGTTCGGTACAAGGTAGCCGATCAGGGCTCGACCGAATGGAACCGCACAGGGTTCGAACCGATCAAGGTTCAATGCAATAGGCTCTCCTACCGTAGACTGCACGTTGAACGAAAAACCGTCTAGGTACACACTCGCGCAATCCTCCCTCTGGTTCGACTTGATATTTGAACCGTTTCTCCAGAGGTAAAGCTTTTAAACCACATTGGCAGGAAATATTTCAGACACTGAACGTGATGACTACTTCATAGCACATTGGGGTTCTTGGCTTAGCCCCATCGCCATAGTAATCAAAAACTGCAGAACACTCCGATGCAGGTACACAGATTGGCATCCCAATCTGCTTCACGGAATATTCACAGCTGTCTTCGTTGGCAGCAGAAATGCGGACTCCCTGCTGCCCCCTGCTGAAAACATGCAGACGACGACCTATCTCCTGGTAACAGTTGTACGCACACACACACACACGGACGCACATGCGCGACCATCTAGGCCTAAAGCACCGGAAAGAAGGTTCCGCTGCCTCGCTGAGTTGTGCTCGCTGCTCACTCATGCGTCGCCCGTACTCGAGAACCTCAAGCTGCTTCCTGGCAGGCTGCGAGAAGAGCCAAGCTGAAAGAACAAGTGCAGCTCTTCCGGAACGGCTAGCTGAATCTCGCCAATATTCTACACAGAAGGCGGGATACAGGGCTTAGAGAGGATCCGCATAGTATCTTGAAGCAGTGTTATTCACCTCTCTCAAGCCCTTCCCCGCCCGGACTGGAAAATGCTCGACAAAAACAATTTGCTCACGAGCTTCGGCCTGAGGTTAGCATTCTCCTGTCGGAGATGAAGATCATCCGGCACCTTGCAAAGCAGCTGCAGCGACCGCAACTTGAATGAAGTGTGTCACTTGAACATGTGGGAGCTTTAGATGAGGCAGGAGCCCTTCCGCTCTCCACTGATGCCGGCGCCTCTGGCACTAGATCGACATGATTGCAATGGCGTAGCCGTGCCTTGTGAATGTATGTGCACGACGACAGGAACGAGGAGAAACACGAACCTTCCTGCAACTACTGTGGAGAACCATAGCCGTAGTGGTATGTTACTAGTGTAGTAGTAGTAGTAGTAGTAGTAGTAGAAGTAGTAGTAGTAGTAGTAGTAGTCGTCGCCGTCGTAGTAGTAGTAGTAGTAGTAGCAGTGGTAGCGGTAGTGGTAGTGGTAGTGGTACTGGTAGTGGCAGTGGTAGTAGTCTTAGTAGTATAGTAGTAGTAGTAGTAGTAGTCGTAGCAGCAGCAGTTGTAGTACCGTATGTCATGCAGTAATAGTACAACAGTATCACAGTAGTGGAAGTTGCAGTAGTAGTCGTCGTCGTAGTAGTAGTAGTAGTACCTACTAAGCTGCAGCTCCGCACGTCAAGCCACGTACTCGACGCGCTTCCGACAACTCTAAAATTCTGAAAATTCGGAATCATTAACTTGATTCCGAAATACTAAACTTAATATGTCATCGGTTCTCGGTCTTCGCTGTCTAGAAGGTGTGTCGCCGTAAGCTCTAAGCCCAGCGTAGTGCTAGTTGCAGCGGTTGGACTGTTTCCACCCTCCCGCTTCCAGACATGATGACGTCCACGGTCTCCGCCGGTCCAAGCAAAGATCATCCATGGCCCTACCATAATGGCGTCTACACTCAGATTTGCACGCATAATCATGTGTATTATGGCCACTAATGAGGCTTCCCAGTTCCAGACATGATGACAAGCATTAAAAAAAGTCGATTGTTCGAACTTTCGCGTTGTTCGCTTGACACAACAAACGAATTTTCGACTTTTCGGGTTTTTCGGGTGCCAGTCACCGTTGCGTGCGCGACACACAAAACCACAACACAGCAGTAGTAGTAGAAGTAGCAGCAGCAGCAGTGGT